AAGTACCTATATTACAATGTGGAATAATAATGGTGATAGTAGCTATTCTTATCTAATTCCCAATTTCCATTCTTTCTCCACTAAGTATGATGCTTGATAGAGGGTTTGTTTGGTTGTTTGTGTTTTGGTGGTTAGCCATTATTTAGTTTGATGACATCTCTTATTATTACAGATTAATACTGATTTTTACAGAGCAGATATTTAACAACTTAGATATTTTTCTCATTAAATTTGTCAATGTGGTATGCCTGTCCTATACTTATTTGCCCTCAGATCATTCTTTCCTCTTTCCTTGCTCTGCTCTCTAGTGTTCAGGAGATAATCCCTGCAAGCTCCTGTTCCTAGGTCCTCCAATATTTGGCTGCTCTCATGGTTCAGGCAACAAGGCCAGCAGATTATAGCCCAGGAGGACAGGAACAGCCTTCTCCCTCTGCATCAGGTAGATGCTCCTTCAATAGCTATATCTTCTTCATGGCTCTAGCTCTAGCTCCCATCATATTGGTTAACCATGGTTTTAGATTCTGTTGATGCCAATTCCCAATCTCCTGTAACACTACCTCCTTCTTCAATTTCTCCCTCTACACTAGAAATGGGAGTGACTTCCTCAAGTTGCTAAGTATTGGCTTGCCTAACTCTACTTGGTTTGGCCTCTCCATCACTTGAATAACCAATATTGCGCATTAAATTCTATCTGAGTTATAGAATTAATTTCTGTTTTCCTGAATAATCTCTGACAGCTGCATTTAGCTAATTATATTGTTTGACTTTACAACTGTGAATCCCGCTTTTTATTCCTAGGAAAAACTCATCTCAGTCACAAGCAATTAAATGTGCTCAAGTCTCTTAGATCACATATAACCAAAACAAAATAAAGCAAAAAATCCCAGGGACCCTGACACTTCCTCTAAATAATTTTGTTTCTCTCTTTTTCACATCCTTCTCAAAAATAATTTTCTGCACTCACTAGTATTTCTGTTTTTGTATTCAAAAGATTCTAAGAAGATAAGGAATATAGAGACATAATTAACTTGTAAAAAAATTCCAGCACCTACACATAAAACTCTATAGAGTTACTTGTGGAAAACAGCCCAAGTGGTACTCAGAAGGATATCTATAGTCTTTTTTTTTTTTTTAAGATTTTATTTATTTATTTGAGAGAGAGAATGAGATAGAGAGAGCATGAAGGGGGGAGGGTCAGAGGGAGAAGCAGACTCCCTGCTGAGCAGGGAGCCCAATGTGGGACTTGATCCCGGGACTCCAGGATCATGACCTGAGCCGAAGGCAGTCGCTTAACCAACTGAGCCACCCAGGCGCCCAGGATATCTATAGTCTTAAACACATTTATTAATAAAATAGTACAGCCACTATGGAAAACAGTATGGAGGTTACTGGAAAAATTCAAAACAGAACTACGATATGGTCCAGCAATTCCACTTCTGGGTATTTATTGGAAGAAAACAAAAACACTAACTCAAAAAGATATATGCCCTATATTCACTGCAGCATTATTTACAATGGCTAGCATATGGAAACAACCTAAGTATCCATCAATGGATGAAGGGACAAAGATGTGATACATACACACACACACACCCCACACACAAATATAAATACATATATTCACAGTGGAATACTACTCAGTTATAAAAAAGAATAGATCTTGCCATTTGCAACAACATAGATGAACCTTGAGGGGCATTACACTAAGTGAATTAAGTCAGAGAAAGACATACTATATGGCCTGATTTATATGCGGAATCTAAAAAAAAAAAAAAAAAAGAATTCATAGATACAGGGAACTCATTAGTGGTTGCCAGAAGCAGGGGGTAGAGGGTGGGTGAAATGGGTGAAGGTGGTCAAAAGGTAAAAATTTCTAGTTATAAAATAAATAAGTCTGGAAGATGTATGTACAGCATGGTGACTATAGTTAATAATACTGTGTTGTATATTTGAAAGTTGCTAAGAGGATGGATCTTAAAAGTTCTCATCACAAGAAAAAAAATTGTAACTATGTGTAGTGATGGATGTTAACTAGACTTACTGTGGTGATCATTTCACAATATATACACTATCGAATCATTATGTTGTACACCTAAAACTAATATTATATGTCAATTATATCTCAATAAAAAAATAAAGTCCATTAATGAGAAAAGAAAGCATGGAGACCATAAGAACAAGAAATTAGAAGAAAAAAGGATAGGCTAATTTGAAAAAGAACTAAAACAATAACTAGAAATAAAAATATAGTTATTGAAATTAAAATCCCAGTGGACAAAAAATGGAAATATTTATAACATGCAAAAATTTCAAGAAACTAGAGGAAGAATACCATATTGAACCCAAAGAAATAGAATGTAGAAAATAATGAAGTGCATAAATGATGAGTTAGAAGACAATGGAGCCAACTAACAAAAGCCTGTACTTTGAAAAGACTGATATAACTGACAGTTTTATAAGTATCATCAATTAACAAAAGAAACAGAAGTAAGTTATGTTAGTTAAACAATATTGTACAAAATATAGGTGCAGAAGGAATTTAAAAATTATAAGAGAGCACTATAAATATCATTACCAAATGGTGAACAAGGTATGATTTTGCATAAAAATATATTTCATCTAATAAACTCAGAAAAAATAATAGAAATACAAAATTAACATTGTGTAACCCTTAATTAACGGATAAATACGCCAATCTTTAAATATTGCAAACATGAACACAAAGGAAGTCAGACATTAGGTTCCTTGTGATAAAAAGTCACAATATCACCTATGGGAAGTCTTTCCAAACAAAAAGAGAAAGAGTAAAAAATTACACCTTAATCTGATGAAACTTCTGCTGATTTAAAGAAATACAGAGGGAGAAGGACACCAGTGTTGCAATCAGCAAAACCCATGCCATATGAAACTGGACAAAACACGAGGTTTTTTTCAACAAGAAATGACAAGGAAAATAAGTAATATATGTATGTGGGGGGGTGTAGGATCTATAAATTAATGGGCATAAAGAGCAATGACATGAATAGACTTTATTTGACCCTGATTCAAGAAAAAACATTTTTAAAAAGTCAGGCAAATGTGAAAAATAACTGGACACTTGATGATATTAATTTTTTAAGGTAGGATATGTGTAATTGAATATTTATGTTTCATAAAGGATACCTATCTTTTAGAAATAGATACTTAAATATTTAAAGATGAAATGGCATGATATCTAGGATTTATTTCTCATTATTTCAGTGGCAGAGATGGGGTAGATATGGGTAGAAATGTAACCAGGGAGGCCATGTGTTGAAGACTGTTGATGCTGATGTGAAGTTTATTGGTTTTATTATACTATTCTCTCTACTGTTGTATATGTTTGAAATTTTCTACAATAAATATAATACATATGTAGCCATTAAAATAAAACCCTAAGTGATAATAGACCATTATTTAGAAAAAATATTAATTACTCAATAGGTTCAAGCAGAAATAGAAAACTGTTACTGAGAAATACAAAACTATCCTCAAGGTTTCAGTCACCTTTAAGTTTCAGGACAAGGCAGTCAGGGACAGTTCTACCAAATAACAAGCAAAAAATTAACCACCATCTCATGTAAACACATCCAAAGCATACAAAAAGATGGGCAATTTTTCAGCTTATTTTCCCAGTCTAGCTCTCCTTGATAAGAAAACCAGCTGAGGACACTTTGAAAACAGAATACTCAAGCCAAGCTCACCCACTTACAGGCAAAGATCCTAAATAAAGTCATAGCAGTGAATTAAATGGAAAAAAGATGCTGAATCCAAGAAATATAACAATATAACATTAGAAAAAACTGCCCAAAATACTACATTAACAGATAAGATTTAAAAGACATTTGATCATGTACTGAAGAAAAAACTTTTTTTCCCAAAGATTTTATTTATTTATTTGACAGAGAGAGACAGCGAGAGAGGGAACACAAGCAAGGGGAGGGGAGAGGCAGCCCCCCCCCCCCCCAGCAGGGAGCCCCATGCGGGGCTCGATCCCAGGAACCTGGGATCATGACCTGAGCCGAAGGCAGACGCTTAACGACTGGGCCACTCAGGCGCCCCAAGAAAAAACTTTTGAAAAAAAAAAGTCAACGTGAATGCAGGATAATATCATTTAGCTAACTAACATTAGAAGGGAACTTCCACTTCCTAAAATCTATAGCAAACAAATTTAAATGTGAAATGTTAGTAGCATTCCCATTAATGTAAGGAGCAAGACACAGCAGTATGTTACCAACTCTAACTGTTCAAAACTGGATCAGAATGCATAGCCAGAGGATAAGAATACAAAAATAAATAAAAGTTAAGAATAGTAAAAAGAAATAGAAATTATTGGTTGTAAATATGATCATTTGGAAAATCCCAAGGAAAAGGCTACGGACTATTTAAGTAAATAAATGACTTCAGAAAAGTGGTGTATAGATAACTATAGTAATATCAAGAGCCTTGTTGTACAAAGCAGTAATTATTAGAACATGTATATATGTATTATAAATGAGAATCAAAATTAAAATGAATTTCACTACACTGTTCAATGTTAGATAAGATCGAAACACCTGGGTCTCACAAAGTTATGCAGATCTGCCTCTTTCCTGTAGCAAGTAGATCTTTTCGAACAGAAAGTTCCCAAAAGTCTGTTTGACTAGTGAAGAGATCCTATGCATTTTCTCTGACATCTCAGAACCTGTCCTAGCCCCCCCTACCTTGTGTGGCAGCTTCTCGATCTCACACCCTGGCTGGGATGCGGACCCACCGTCTGCAAGGGTTTAAGCTGACAAACTGTCCAGAGTTTAGGAAGAGGAAGTGATATTTCCCAAGGAGCCTTTAATCAACGAACCGGGAGCCAAAATGAGGACCTACTTCGCGAAAATACCTTTGGTACTACTCACACTATAACAGAGGGGGCACCACAGAGTCACGCCCCTTATCGCCCCACCTCGGGGGGGCCCCCCGGAGTAGCCGGATGTATGCACACTGACTTCCTTTTCTGCTCCGTGGGAGGTGAGCTCTTGCCCCGAGAAGGACGGCGGCGCAGCCGAGGGAGGAATCCAAGCTCTGCCCCAGGTAAGATAAGGATATTGAGTAAGGTTTGAGGGAATCCCCCTATCTAGAAAGACCTAAGACCCCACGGTCCTGCCCTTGCTGTCAGCCCTAGAAGGTTCCAGGCAGGGATCACCCGATGCAGTGCTCTCTGAATTCTCATTCTGAGAACTCGGAGAAATAATAACATTGGGCCCAGGGTGTTGGTATCGGAGGAGTCAATGAAGGACCTTGTGTGAATTCAGTGGAACTGCCCCTCCCCCATTACAGAGGCGTCCCCACAGAGCCGGGCCCCTTCCGCCAGCCGTGGGAAACCCCGGTGAGGATATTTGACTCGGGTGTCTGCTTCCGGCTATCAGAGGAAGGAGGCTCTGCCAGGAGTTGACGAACACCCCTATTTATGTTCTAGGAGAAACCGCCTCCCTAGAACAGTGGAGGCCCTAAAGAGCCCCACTCCTGCTGTCAGTCCCTGGAGGTTCCTGGTATGGCTGTAAGGCCCAGATGCCCCCTCACTTCACCTTTTGGTTGTTTGGGGGAAGAGGGGTGCATAAGAGCCTTGGTCTAAGGCTATACTATTCAGGTAGCCGTTCTAGAGGTCAAAGTGAGAACAGAGGCAGGGAGGATACACAGTTAGGACTTTCCTCTGTAATCAGCCCTGGAAAACCCTGGGGAGATCTGCATTCTGAGTCTCCTCCCCCCCC